TGGGAGGAGGAAGGCCTGGGAAGGGAGTGATGGGCGTGTAAGAATTTCCGAAAGCGGCAAGGATGTTGGAGGAGAAATGGGTTCGAGTGTTCTACAGTCGTCTGCGCTCGTCCTTGGCGACGCCGGCTTGTACTCCCTGCTTGTATCTTATCCGTATACCACGCCCTGTCCCTCGGGGCACACATGACGACCCTCTCTACGCCCTTGCCCTCTCATTTACCAAAACGACTGCGACGACAAGTTCATGACGATACCTTCTCCATGTCAAACACCCCCCAAAACCAGTGGTGGTCGACCTCAGACGGCTCCACCTTCCTACCCACGCAGACATCCCAGTCCTCCGTAACTCCTTCATCTCCGTCTACGGACTCTTCAGCGATACCCTCCTCATCTAGACTATCGGCGACAGCGACCTCGGGTAGCTCGACGCCGAACTCTCCCATACCTCCCAGCGCCACAACCTCCGGATCTGTAGTTCCCACTTCTGACCTCACTACATTCACTACCTCTGTCCCGATCACCGTCTCCGATCCTTCTACAACATTTACTTCCTATTCCCAACTCACAGTTACCTCCTCGCAGGTCGTCACCGCGGCCCCAGACACGCAAACTGCGCATGTCGTCGCACTGGTAGAACCAGTCTGCGTCGGCGACGGGCTGGACGCGTACTCGTGGGGTCTGCTGGCTGCCGTTGTTGTTCCTTCAGTTATTGGCTTATTAGTATGGGTGAGTCGCAGTATATGGCGTATGCGGTGAGAGTCTGTTGGAACGCGACTGACCGGGTCTGTGCTCTCATAGTTGTTGTTTGCTATCCTACGTCCTCGCTATCGACAACTGTATGGTCTTCGAGAATGGTTTGTGCAACAGAGGTGAGTATCCATGCCTCGCCTCGTCCGCGAGACTCATTTGACGCGTCGCAGTTTCCGCCCCAAGCCGTTAGGTCGCTCCTTCTGGGCGTTCCTCTTCCCTCACGTTCCCCTCGTCCCATCCCTTCCTTCAGACGTGTCTGACGCAGGCCGGTCACCCGCGAAGGACGCCTTACTCTTCCCCTCCGACGAACAACTCAGCCAACGCGTTCTATGGATTTGTACTCTGATCGCGGCCGGCTGGACGGTCCTCGCACTCGCAGGTTTCCTCCCTCTGTACATGGTCACCACACCTTGCCTCGCCGACTCCGCCCCGCGACCTCACTTTACGGGTGTGTACTCCGCACTACAGGATCTCAGCCTCCTCCGTCTGCTACGCCTGTACGATGCGGGTCAGGTGACCACGACGAACGCGCGCACCGCGTCGCGACGCGCGGTCGTGAACGGGACGGACAGGACGGACGACGCTCGCGTCCGCATCATCATCGCGACGGTGCTCGCTATCGTCCTGGGACTCTTGCCGGTTCTGTGGAAGATTCTCAAGGAGTTTAATCGCCTTGTGGCGTATCGTGAGCGGTGGATGGACGTGCGCTGCCAGGGTTTGGAAATGGGCTGGCTTAGTGCGCGCCGCGCCCCGGGCTTTGTGGGGTGGGGTGAGAAGCGGCTGAAGGACTACCTCGCCAAGATCGGCCTGAGCTCGTCACTTGACGCTAATGACAGGACTGCGCGGTCGAGGCGCCGCAGACGAGCGCAGGAGGCGAACATGGAGGAGAGAGGTACTTATGAGATCGACGTCCAGTCGCTTTTCTCCATTGGGTAGGTTCGCTGTGAGAGACCCTCCTCCGATACATTGTACTGATTGCTGTGTTTCTAGTGATACCGGCCACCTTGCACTCCTCATCGACGAGCGAGACGAGATCCTCGAGAATTTGGAGATAGCAGAGACGAAGTACATCAATAGTTTCAGACTCACGACACCGGACCCTTCAATCGCAGATTGGGAACCTCCCGTGCCGCCGCCTAAGGATGAGCCCGAATCACCTCCCAGGCCCCAAATAAGCCGTCCCCTCCCGCTGTCAAGTTCTGCAGTAAGTCCTCTACGCCCGAATGACTTTGTACCGCAACACTGAATATGTCCGTCAGAGCCGCCGTCGCAGACGTAGGGGAAGAAATCCTGCATATGCATCCTCGTCGCTACCTCCCACGTCCTACGTGATGCCCTCCCAGTTTTACAAGATCACCGACCTCGGAGGCATTACCGGAGGCGAGTTTGCAGACCCGGAGAAGGACCTCCCCTCTGCATCGTCTCGCCGCTCGCGCCAGAGCAGCTTCACCGAGAGCGTTAGCAGGCGCATCGTCGGCAGCCGATTCCAGGAGGTCAACCGCAACTCGATGGCAGTCGGCCGCATCCCCATTGGTAGCCAAGTCGTCGTGGACCAGACCGGGGAGCTTTCTCCCATGATCGGCTCGCACGACTCCCCGCTTACTGAGCCCGTGCATTATGGACCCGATCAGCACACGTCGTGGGATACGACCGCGTTCAGAGAAGGTGGCGTGCCGCAGGAACAGCACAACTGGTTCCAGCAGCAGTCGCAGCATGAGTGGCCTGAGGCCATCCCGGAAGACGAGGAACCCGAGGAAGACTGGCACGACGTTGCGCAGGAAGACCCGGAGGCATTCCAACACGCCGAGGAGCACCCGACCGAAGCGCGGCGTCGCCCGCGGCCGCCGCGCACGCGGACGGGTGCAGGCACGCCCGTTGAGGAGCATCGCGAGACGTTCCCTATGCGGCACCGCGGGCCGCCGAATGCGCCTGAGGAGGTCCCGCCGCCGCACTTGCGTCTCCAGCCGCGGCAACCGTTTGTTCGCCCGCTCTCCGGGCTCGACCACGACCAGCTGGGGCGCATATACTCGGATATCAACCATTGGCGGTGGAAGCTGAAGGTGATCAACACCGAGATTGCGGAGGTCCAGCGGGAATGCTACAACGACATTGCGGATGGCGCGAGGATCAAGGGTTGGCTTATGGTGGGACGAGGCTTGAGGTACCTCCCTGGTATTCAGCTCATCGAAGGCCGCGCGAAGGAAGACATCCGCTGGGACGAACTGCAATACGAAGGCGACTGGACGAGGAGCATGATGTGGTGGCTCGCCGTCATCATGATTGGTTTCATGCTCGGTGTAGGACGTGCGTCGGTCCTCTCATACAGTGGGAGATGTGCTGACCTGGGTTCTGTTAGTGACTGCCGTCTCCGGGCTCGCGGTGGCGACTGCGCCGGATGTGGCGCACTACTTCCCGTTCATGATGCCTCTCGTAACAGGTAGCAAGCTCGGCGGCGGTCTCGGGTCGACATGGGCTGCCTCACTAGCCGCGACACTGTTCATTTTCCTAGCATTGATCATCCTGCACCGTGAGTAGTTCATGTCCATTGAGAGCTGCTCATTGCTTGACATAGTTCTGATTGTGCAGAGCTGACTCCGCTGACTCGAACCGTGTCCGTCTCTGCCTCGCGCTTCGTCATGTTCAGGACGATGTTCTGGTTATTGCTCATAGTGGGAGGCGTCTGGATGTTCACCACTGGAGCCATCCTCTTCTCCATGCAAACATTGAGTAGTGACTCTGGCGAGTCGCAATCGGTCGCCAATGGCGCGATTTACATGAGCGCATTTGCTCTGGTCGTCGTCCTGAACGTCGCCATCATATCTCCGGGCTTGCTCTTGCTCCAGCCGATGAGGCTGTTGAAGGTCATCCGTGCGGAGAAAGCTGCAGTTACCCCCCGGCAGCGCTTCCGAGGTGCGTTCCTTCTCACTAGTCTCTAGGCTGCTTGCTGACGATGCGATAGCTGTATATCCCCAATCTTATGACCCATTTTATGCGACAAGCTGCTCTGTACTCGCCGTCATCTTCGCATCCGCATTTGCCCTGATTTTCCCATTGCTCGCACCTGCTGTCTTGCTATTGCTGTTCCTTACTCTGATCGGTAAGGAAACACCAACACCTTGACGTCTGAAAGGTCGTCGCTGATATTTCATGCAGCTCATAGATTCCTCGTCGGCTACGTATACGGCAGGACGTTGTCTCAAACCGGCGGTCTTGTATATATCTGGCTACTTCGTCGTCTTGGCACTGCCCTCGCCCTGCAGCCGCTCCTCTTCGGACTTATATTCCTCAGCAGGCGACTTTGGATTGAAGGCGGAGTGCTATGCGGCTTTGCCTTCCTCGTCGTCCTTGTTGTCGAGACCTTCTGCAATTGGCGAACGAGCCTTCCCGCACGCCGCTCTCTGTCCCCGATCACGCTCGACTCCCTGGCGACGTTCGAGCAGAGCGCTATCCCGGGTAGGCAACGCAATGTAGACGAGGAGAACACAAGCCTCGTCAGCTCCGCGAGGAACACCCGTGCGCGCGGCTCGTTCGCGTCGGTGTTAGAGATGATGTCCCTGACGCTGGCAGTGACCCCTTCTGCTTCGGAGACAAGGGGGCCCGTCCCGCTGGGTAAGCCGATCTTCTGCCCTGTACCCAATATAGAGGGAGGCTCATCTCTGGCTGTAGAAACCGAGAACTTGGACGACCTCACCGCCACGGAGCGAGCCGCGCGCACGAATCCGGACGCGCCTCCTCACCTCCCTCCTCTGCCCTTCGCGGACCATGCGGAAGAGATGGCCGGGGTGCTGTACGCACCGGAGCTTCTCGCGCCGCCTCCCATGATCTGGCTGCCGAACGACGTCGGGGGCATCGGTCGCTCGGAGGCGTACGACCTGCAGCGGTACCACAACCTGCCTGTTACGCTGGACGTCCGCGCCAAGGAAGATGTGCACTCGCCCCGAGCACCGTCCTCTCCTCATTCGCCTCATGCTTTGTAGCCTTCGCCGGACTAGACGAGCGCGACGGCTTCCCATCTTTATGAACACTTACAACGAACCCCCATTGCGACCGGACCTCAGCCGTGTAGTGGTACATGTTATTGTGCACGTATGCTTTAGTACGATATGTTGTCGAAATTGGATGTAATACATCAGTGGAATTCTGCCTTGACATGGATGATTTGGAGGCGTACAGTAAGTACAGTAACAGGAAACCAGAACGGGATCCGGTTCTCCCGTCATTATGGACATAAATATGGATGACGTAACAACTCCCTGGTAGTATATCGGATAGTACACGCGCCTGTCAATCATCAATTGCGGACGCGCGAGAGCGGGGTTCGACTCCCCGCCAGGGACATGCTTTTTGGCTCTGAGCGTTGTTCACCCATGTGTACACATTGCGGTGTCGACGTACTGTCGGTCGATAGTCCGGCTTTATACTGGATGACTTCCCGTAAGGATTTAGAAATTTAGAACTGATTCTAAATCCTAGATTCAGGCAAATTTGGAAGGTATGCCGAGATCCCGAGCAAAATTCAATCTCCGAAAACGAGTCCGTCATGTTTCTAAACTCTAATTCGAGTCGTGTTTAGAAGGGGGGTAGGCACCCCCCTTCTAGTTCTAAACTGCGTTCTAAACGAGCCAAACGGGAAGGCGACGGACCATTTTTGGGCTCCAAAGACATGACTAATCTTTTCCCCATCACTAAATTACCAAAACCGTACAGGAGCAACTGCTGAGTAAGCAGTCCGTGGTGGTGAAAAACTGAGACTGCGAGGTTACGAGCTCCGCTCAGATCTCCCATCAATCTCAAATCTAGAAATTTAGAACCAAGTTCTAAATCCTTACGGGAAGTCATCCACTGATCTCCAACGACCCTATATTGACACTATCCACGCACGAGTTATACGCAACGGGCAGTTCCGTATATTGTCTGACGACTTCTACGCTATATCCATCAACCATCGAAAAAAATATGAGCAGCCGGATAACAAAAGGGCAAAGCGACCGCACGGGAGTAGATATAGGAGAGGGGGTGGTAGGCCAGCCGACGCAGAATCAATGCGTGAAAAGTTCGATGGGGGCGAGAGGCAAGAATAAACAAGTGCGTTGCGACGAAACAGTACAAATGCAGGTGGTTGGATCGCGGGCGGGTAAAGACCGGACACGGACGAGAGCGGCGAGCGGGTGGGGTGGGTGCGCTGCGCCGGACGAGTCCGCAGCTCGTCGGGGGATGGAACGTCTCTGGGGTGAGGGAAGAGTTCGTCGAGCTGATGAGATTGTACGCGAGAGCCAGGGACGCAGAGCAGTAATGCAAGACAAAATGTGGGAACCCGCTCAGCACTCTCCGAGGAAGCTGTTCTTGGGGAACGGCTGCTTGAAGTCGTCTCGCCAAGTGGTCAAGTTGGGATTTGTGTACGCTTCGATGTACCTGTAGAGAACGTCAGCGGAGTTGTGATTGAACGCGACAATGACACGTACTCGTTGATGTAGGCCGCCGTAGGGAAGTCCGGAGGGTCGCAGCCAATGTTGATGTTGTCCGGGTCTTGGTACACCCGGATGTAGTCAACCTTCATCGTGACCGGGAAGTCGAGGTGGTCAAGGTCTACGAAACCGAAGTTCGTGGACATTCCCAAGTTGGCAATCAAGTACTGTGGCTCGAGGTCAGATCTGGTTCTGTACGACGATCAGTCTGAAACTTGTACCATCGGTTCCTGAGGAACAGGACGAGGGCCGATCTCGACAGCCGTGTCTGCTGCGAAACCAGCTTGCTTCAAGGTCCATGCCAGCTTACCGTCCGCAATCCAGCTGATGTACTGCGAAGACGTCAGCATCCTCCCCGACTGTGTCAAAGAAGCGGAACACCCACAGCATCGTCGAAACCAGGCTTGTATTGGATACCATATACGGAGAACACATTGCCGGTACCCTCGTACGCCTCCTGGTCTGCAGGAAATCAGTATTGACATCCGTGTACTGTAATTATGGGATACTTACTCGTCTCGGTGACGACGGAACTAGCCTGCTGGAATACACCACCCTTGTAGCCGTTAAGGGCACTGATGGTTTCGTTGGGGATAATGAGGTTATCCGTCGTGTTGAACCAGGTGTAGGCTGCATTGAACGGCTATGAAGAGGGTCAATCGACAAGCGACTGCTGGCACGACGCAAGACTTACACCCCACTGCGCAGACTGGGATACTTGACCAGTCAACGGGTCGCCCGTGATCTACAGCAGCTTGCCCTTCAGCAATACCTCCAATCCATGGCCGAGACGATACATACCTGAGCTTCGAAAATATCGATTTCGGGTGCAGAACGACCGACGTAGGTGCCATCAGAGTGGATGGGACCAGGGTGGGATTCGCCGGGGCAAGTGCAACGCGACAGACGTTGACCGGGCAAGAAAGACAAGACGCCGTTCTGACTCGCATCACCGTTGACGGTGGCCGCATGAGGAAGTCCGTTGATGGTCTGGTTCGCGACAGTGCCGACATCACAAGAGTCGTAGGTGTATGGCCACTGCACGACGTACATTAACACGAAGGCGATATGACAGGACATCGACAGATGGACACGTACCATTCCCTCCAAACTCGCACCGTAACCAGCACGTCCAAGGTTACCCATTGTCCAGATAGCAGGCCAAAGACCGACAACGTTGTTGACTCCAGGGAGCACAACGGAAGTCAAGACCAGACCACCCGTGAAACAGAACTTGTTCCACGTAGACATCATGCCTCCCTGGAAGTTGAGGCCATGGGTCTCTTTTCGACTCAGGGTGATGTGAAGAGAGCCGTTCTTCGTGGTGATGGCCGCGGGGTCGTACCACTCCATGTTGTTGGTCTGCCAATAGTGAAGATCAACAGCCTCCCAGTAGGGGTCGTCTCCAGGATAGAAAGTGCGACCATCGACGTTGAACTCGTCACTCCAAACAAGCTGCCACTCCTTCTGGGTGTTGAAATCCGTATATGTGTAGGCGTCTTGGGGTGTCTCGAGGTCGATGAGACCCCAGTTGCCAGGCATGGAGGGAACCTGGCCAGTTGCATTGATACCACCCAAGTTGAAGCCTCCAAGAGTGGACAGAGGATGCTTGGTGAAGTAGCTGATTATAGGATAACCAGCACTATAAATAGCAGTCAGCACGGATGAACGCCGGGAGCGGTAGGGACGGGAAGACTCACAAGAGCGCGAGCAGACCGGCGCCGAGGACGAACAGGCATCCCAAATTCCACAGACCTCTGGAGGTAAAGATGTGGCCACCTTGATCGTGCTTTCTATCCCTTCGGGGGTCTGGGTTATGAAGGTGGTCGTCACCTTCGGGGTGGTCGATAGAGAGGTCGGCACCCCACGACGAGGGATCCGGGGAGAGCGAGAACTGGGGCAACGTTCATGAAGTGGCTTTGGAAAAGTAGGCGCTGCGAGAGACGCACCTTGTCCGAGATGGAGGCAGGCATGGATGTCGTCTTTCCTGAGTATCTGGACTCGTTCTGACGTGGAAAATGAGTATGAGAAACGATCGCCGGTGCGCAGCAAGAGGATGGTGACTGACGAGAGATGCATCGCTGGCCATGCTACGCAGACCAGGCCCGCGAGCGAGCGCGGCCTGCACGCCCGGAGCACCTGAGCCAGCTGAAGGGTTGAGGAGGTTGGTTGTTGAGGGTGAGTTTGGTTGATTGTACCGCATCTGCGGGTTGGGGCGTAGCGACGCCATGACGACTCTGTGCGAGGGGGGTGCAGTCTAGGTGGAAGAGGGAGAGCGGTGAGCAAGCAGAGGGTATATGTGGGGGAGAGAGAGAGGGGGGCGAGTGGTGGTACAGGACAAGGAGGGGGATAAGGAGCGGAAGGGTCTGCGTCTGCGAAGGCGAGTGGGACGTCTGCAGCTGCAGTGGTAGTCAAGCTCAAGTTCCAATTCGATTCCAAGCGAGTCCCCGTCCCTCCAAGACACCCGCCCGTGGGAACCACCTGCCTCTCTCGGCCCCCAGCCAATCACCGCCCCCGCCCAAAAATAAGAAGGGCGGCGTCCATTCCCGCCTTCGCGGTCGACGCACGCACTGGCCTCCCGGCCCTTCTCCATCTTCCGAGTCCGTCTTCGGCGCGCGGCGTCCATCATCGTGTGCCACATCCACCTGTGTTTCACGCATCATAGAAAACAAGATACACTGACGAAATAAGAATATCATAGCAACTAGTAGATGTGTGTACAAATCTGTGGGTGCAGCCCATGAGCTTCGCGTGGGATGGCCCCTCGGGGAGCCACACGACCGAGACGGAGGCACTCACGAGGGAGCAAGCAACCACGCGAAAGCAGCGGCAAAGTGGTATAGTAAGAACGCGGAACGGGGGGACTTTAGTCGCAGCCCGTAACCATCTTGTTCTTCGGGATAGTCTGCCCAAAGTCGTCGACCCATGTCGTCAGCAGAGGGTTCGTGTAGGCCTCGATGTACCTGCGACGACGTCAATACGCATGTCTGCATCACGTCACAGCGGGACTCACTCGTTAATGTACGCCGCGGTCGGGAAGTCCGGCGGGTCACAGCTAATGTTGATGTTGTCCGGGTCTTGGTACACTCGAATGTAGTCCACACGCAACGTGGACGGGAATTGCAAGTGATCAAAATCGACCGTACCGAAGTTCTTCGACATGCCCAGATTCATGATCAAGTACTGATGACGAAACATCTCAACGCGCCGCCCAACATCAACACCGCTGAAGATACGCACCATCGGCTCTTGCGGCACAGGTCTGTCGCTAATCTCGACGATGGGGTCAGCAGCCATACCGGGCTGGTTGAGCTGCCATGCGAGCTGGCCATCCGCGATCCATGCGATGTACTGGGCGCGAATTCGATCAGTGTGGGCGCTGGGCGCGAAGGACTGCAGCACGTACAGCATCGCCAAATCCGGGTTTGTACTGGAATCCATACACGGAGTACTCGCCGCCACTGAACTCGTAGGCTGCCTGATCTGTATGCCAGCAGAGTTAGATCATCTGACATATCTGGGCTTCGGAGATGCACGCACTGGTCATGGTGACAACGGACGTGGCCTGCTGATACACGCCTCCCCTGTAACTGTTCAGTTTGCTCTTCGTAGGGTCCTTGATGATCAAGTTGTCCGTGGAGTTGTCCCAAATATAGGCGTGGTTGAACGGCTACATAAACCGTCCTCCTCGTCAGTCACAGAATACCTCGATGCGTGCACCGGAAACATACACCCCACTGTCCAGACTGGGAAACAGCGCCGACTTTGCCAGGCGCACCGCTGCCTCCAACCTGTGAGCGGGAGTGAGTTAGATTCAGTGACAGACTGTTGTCGGATCCGACTGACCTGCGCCTCGAAAATGTCAATTTCAG